AAATAATAAGTATTGAAATACAATTTCAAATCTAGTAAACCCAAATCTCCTAGTTTCTTAGCATCTTGCAGTAGTTTATATCTAATTCTTGGTTTTTCCCCCCTTGGCATATAAACTTAGAAATAACCATCTGCCATTGTTTAAATGGAGTATCAGTTGCAAGTATTGGTGACATCTGAAACAAAAAATGCATCTTTGGTAAAACATTAATCTTAATTACAGAAATTCTGCCCAATAATGATATCTCATTTTAGTAAGTCCTCCTTATAACAGGGAGGCACATGGTTATTTTGATACAATTTTGCATTTGCATTTGCCAATGTAACCACCAAGTATTTCTCAACCTTAAAACCAGGTTTTTTTTAGTCAATATATCACAATCCTGAGAGGTCATATTCTTAATATGCTTTGTTGTTTTATGTTTATTTTAAAACTTGCTAAGGTCCCAAACTCATTTAATTTCCTTATCAAATATTCTATACCAATATAGCTAAATCTAACAATGGTTTATGAAATATATATTTTCTTATTAATTCTCTTTTTACTGTACTTTTTAGTGCAAGGTACTTTCATTCATTCAGTGAAGAATATCACTTTCACTTTCACTGTACAGACTTCTTGGGCCCACCAGTTCCCCTCAACCTGACCTACCTATAAGCCAGAATTGGAGGAAAGTTGGGGAAATGAGTTGAGCTGTAATAAATTGGTAGAATTTGTCATAGTTGCACGTATACTAGACATTTGGGTGCCCAGGATTGCTAATTAGCAGGATATAGGAAAGAGGATATAAAGATGGTATCCCATACTGATGATGTTCCAGAAAGCCTTAAAGATAGGGTTGGGATTCTACCTGGTTGGACCGGTTCTATAGAACCGATTGTTATGATTCTGCCCAGTTCAGTGAACCGGCAAATCGCATCACTATCTGGGCCCCCTCCTCCCCACCTCGCCCACTCACTCTTTACCCTGGCATCAAACTTGCCTGCATTTGGTAAGTTGAATTTTTTTAATTCACTTTTCCATAATATTAATATTAGATTTAACCAATTCCAAATAAGTCCAGCATTTTATCCAATGCCTGGTTAATGTCCAATTCTGTATGTTATTCCAAATTTAGTCTCTAATTACATATAATTCTTTTATTTCCAGTTTTTTCTTTACCTTATATTTTCCTCTCATTTCTCATTCGCCGCTACAACTCTTCCAAACAAGGGGTCTTTCTTTCTGCTTTTCAGGGTTATCAAAAAGAATATTCAAAGTCTTTTATCCAGTTACACGCTGCTCACCACTTTCACTCTCCAGCACAAAACGTGTGTCCTGGCAGCTTCCTGTCTTCAGGGCAGCCATTAAAAGACTGTCGCTTCTCCCTGTCTTCTACGGGAGTTTGCCAAGCCAGGGAGGGGAGATGCTGCTCCCCTCGACCCAGCTGGCAGTCTCCCCCTCTTCCTCCCACCCCTACAAGGTGAGTCAGATGGATCCGGTCCTTTAAGGACCCTCCAACAGGGTAAGCATGGATCAAAGCCATGCACAATCTCAGTCTTGGATCCGTCATTGACCAGAACGCCCTGAAATGCAAGTTCCTTGATGTAGCTGCAAAACTCAATTCCCCATCCCCTTTGCCTATGGCAACTCGAGAGCAGGTCAGGAATGCTTTGCAAGTTGACATTCAGCTTCCCTCACTTCCTGAAGGCGACCTGTGTAAAGCAAAGACAGTTTGAGTATGGCATAGATTCAGGGGTTGACACCACCCCAGCCTTGTTGGGTTGTCTTCATGGAATTTAGCTATAGGCGATCAGCTTGGATGTTTTTACTTTTTGCCCAAGACGCCTCTGATAAAGGATAGCCCTTCCACTTGATTAGGTACTGGAGCTGTCTCCTGTGTCACCTTGAGTCAAGAATTTATAATGGGTTTGGCCCTCTATGACCACTGGGCTACTGGTCTCAGGGTTGACCTGACCACAGGTTTTAAGAGGCTGCTATGGAATACCGGGTGTATCTTCCCTAGCAGCTGGGGCAATTTTAATTGCACCGTGACCAGGTTGATAATCTTCACTATGGGAAATGACCCCATGAACTTGGGTGCCAACTTCTAGATGGGAAATTTTAACCTCAAGTATTTTGTGGAGAGGTAGATCTTTCCCCCCAGCTGGTATGGCCATTGTGAGGCTTGATGTTTGTCTGCCTGTTTCTTATAGTCTGTGCTGCTTTAGCTAATGCCTTCTTGACATTTTCTCATGCTGCTTTTAGCATTGACCACCAGTCTGTCAAGCTGATTGAGCGGGGGGATCCCTTGGGTATTCTGGCATTGGAACAAAGTCCATGCCACTCACTACTTTGAATGGAATTAGTCCCATGCTACTGTGAACATCATTATTGTACACAATCTCAGTGAAAGCAAGAGTCTACCCAGTTGAACTGTTGATAGTTCACGTAATACCTCAGGTACTGTTCTACCATGGCATTCAGACATTTTGCTCCCCATTGGTAGCCAGATGAAAAGTTGAGCTAAGGCCCTCGGATGACCCAGTAGACTGCAGGAACTCCCTACAGAACTTAGCTGTGAACTGGACCCCTCTGTCTGAGATTATTTTTTGTGGCACTCCATGCAGGCGGTATGTGCTTCAGGAACAATTTAGCTAGCTGGTGGGCTGAGGGTAGTCCACTGCAGAGTATGAAATGTGCCTGCTTGGAGAATATGTCAAGCACCATCCAGATCACCATGTTCCCCCCGCTGTTTGGTAACTCCACTATAAAGTCCATTGTGATTTCCTCCCATGGCCTCATTGGCTCTGCCACCGTTTGCAGCAGTCTGAGGGGTTTTCCTGGTCATTTTTTCATAGTGGCATCTATGGTGCAACTTTTCACATGTCTTTTTTCATGCCGAGCCACCAGAATTGCCTCCGTGTTAAGTGAAAAGTCTTTAGGAACTCAAAGTGGCCCACTGATTTGACATCATGGCTCCTTTGGAAGATTAAGGTGCGTAGGGACTCTGGGATGTAGAGTTTCATCCCCTTCCATGCTAGGTCATCCCTTTTTGTCAAGATTTGTTGGTTGTCATGGAACCAGGGTTCTACTAGCAGTTTGGTTTTGAGGTTCGTGGTTAGATCGCTTGTGGTTTGGTCTTGCTATCAGGTGGTCACTTGGGCTGCTGTTTGGGTAGGGGGATTATGACATCTACTACCTCCTCCCATTCTCAGTTATACTGGGGTGTTATGACTCCCCTTCGAAATTCAAATGAACAAAACAGAAAGCAGCCGTTTCACAAGTAAATCAAATGGAAAGAAGTCTTACAAGATAACGGCTGGCAGAAACCACAGCATAAATCTTTTCTCTGTCCGGCAAACCAGTCCTGGCAATAAATCTCCAGCCTCAGAGCTCCTTGCTGTAACGTCTTCACTCAAATAGTTATTTTGTTCCTGGCAAAATGTACCAGCCCAGCTGTGTCCTTTTATACTCATTAAGGCAACGTGCTAATTTACTGACTTGCTCTTCTCATTCGCTCCAGCTGATTTTGCCTTTTCAACCGTCTTCTATTTTTTACATTTAACCACAAATTTTCCAAGTTCTCATCTCCACTAGAAGACTCTCTCAAAACTTCCCTGTCAGCCATTCCCGGCTGTTGATCAGATAAGGAACCAGAGGAGGTCAAAGGTCCTGACAATTCTAATACATCAGGTCTGTTGTCCTTTGTCACGTCCATCTCCTCATCCTGGTTATCAGTCCAATCAGTAAGCCAGGCTGGCTCATATTGTTCTGCCATGACCTCTTCACTTGAACTCATATCAATCACAGGAGCTGAATCCAAGCCTGGAGCCACAACACTGGGGTATGTGGGAGAGGGCGTCAGCTAGGAAATTTCTCCCTCTGGGATGTGCTTCAGCCTGAAATTGAATCAGTTGAAATATTGAGCCCAGTAGACTTGTTTGGGTGATAGTTTCTGCGGGGTCCTAAAGGCCTCCAAGTTTTTGTGGTTGGTCCAGATTTCAAACAGTTTTTCACCCCCTTCCAGTAGGTAGTGCCAGGTTAGCAGTGCTCATCTTACCACAAAAGCCTCTTTTTCCCATGCAGCCCATTGCCTCTCTCTGTTTGTGAGTTTACAGGAGGTGTAGGTGCAGGGCTGTTTTCCTTGGTTATTTCTTTGGAGTAGCATTGCTCCCACTGCCACATCCCTGGTGTTTGCCTGGATGATGAAGTCATCATGGATGATAAAGTTCAGGGTCAGGATGTTTCAGCACCAGTTCCTTTGCGAAAAGTTCTTTCAGTTAATGTCTTTTGGCAGGTTAGGTCCCATTGTAGGGATTGTCCCGGATGGGCTTCATCTCTGCCGCCCTGTCTTTAGGAGGTCTGTAATGGGTTTGGCAATTTTCATGAAGGAGGTGATCAATTGCCTATAAAAGCTTGCAAATCCTAGGAAACTTTGTAGCTAACTGCAGGTGTGAGGGGGCTGCCAGCCTAGGATGGCTTGTACTTTGGCTGGGTCCATCTCTATGCCCTCATTTGACACTCAGCAGCCCAGATAGTCTAACCGTTCACAGTGAAACTCGCATTTTGACAGCTTAACATACAGATTTGCTGCCAGAAGTTTTTCCAGTACTAGTGGACTAGGGGTATGAGGATGTTGTTCAGGGAGACAAGGATCCCCATATAGAGGTGTTCACGCAGCACCTCATTTATTAACTGCAAAAACACCATCGGAGCCCCCTGCAGTCCGAAAGGCATTACTTTGAATTGGAAGCTCCCTCGGGGACAGCTGAATGCTGTTTTCCATTTATCTCCCTCCCTGATGCAGACTCGGTAGTATACTTCTTTGAGGTCTAATTCAGTAAAGACTTTTCCTTGGCTAGGTGAGACAGTGTATCTTTCATGAGAGGGAGGGCGTATAGGTTGAGTACACAAAATGTTTATACTTCTGAAGTCCACATATAATCACATAGTTCCATCTTTTTTTTTCTTTAAATAAGACTGGGGCTGCAACCTGTGGCTTGGCTGGCTCAATGAACCTTGCTAGGTTTTTATCTATGTATTTGTGCATTTCTTGCATTTCCCAGAGTGTCATGGCATACAGTTTGGGTTTGAGTTTTGCCCCGGGGATGATTTCGATGGCGCAGTCTGTCTTGTGGTGGATGGGTAGGTCACCACACTCAGCCTCGCTGAACACTTCTGCAAGGCTTTATATTCTTTGGAGATCTCTGGGGTTTTGTCAGAGGTGGCTGCCAATAGTTTTGGAGAGGTGGTTTCCTGCGTGGATGATTCTTCTGTTTGCTAGTGCAAGAGGGGTTGGGGTCCTCTAGCTATCCTCAGCCTCTGGTGCTCCCTTCCCACAAGATCATCAGGCCCCACTTGTCTAGCCAAAAGAGCCCCAGTATGATTGCATCTGTCATTTTGGGGGCTATTATGAATCAAATTGCTTCCCAGTGTTCCACTAGCTCTAGCCTCACTGGTTCAGTCAGATGGGTGGTGTAGGCTCCCCCAAGAGGGAAACATTGATCTGTCAAATCTGATTGGGTGGGCTAGTCTCTTCGTCTAATCCCCAGTTTCAAGACTGTGGTTAGGTTAATCAGTCATCTAGTGCAGCCTGAGTCTATTAGGGCTTGAAAAGTGCCCTAGATCCCTCTTTGGGGGCTGTGAGGCGTATAGGGAGGATGAAGGAGTGGATCAGTTCACTCACCATTGGATCATTTTCACCATTATCCTCACTGTCATAGGGCTCTGGCAACTGGTCATTGTGGGCTGGAGTTTCTCCCTATTCAACTGGGTTGGGAGGGACTTCTACGTCCTGGAGGGCTTTTGGGGATGTTGGCAGCATGCCTGGGGCCTCATTCTGGTCCACCTTGGGTGGCGGCTCTGGCTTGGGTTTTGGAGCTGGGGTCATGCATGCCAATGCAGCGTGGCCCATCCCTCTGCATCTGTAGCATTTCAACTGGCTTCATGGGATGGTTGGTTTTGGGGCCAGCTGTGACCTCCCATTGGCTGGATGGTCTCCAGCCTGATTGGCCTCTCTCCTTGGTATCCAGTTGCTTCTGCATTTTGTTGGCATGCAATCCACAGTAAACTTTTATAGCCACTTGGCCATAAAGAGAGTCAGTTTGGAATGTCCCAACAGGCAGTTACTTGGGCAACTTGCTTGTCCAGGCTCATTCTGAAAAAGTGAGCTAATAGCCACTCTGGCAGAGGGGGTAGCTTCCCTGCGACTCTTCTGAATTCACAGATGTGTTCCTTAATGGGTTGCCCCCTCTGCTTTAGGTTTTGGAGCTCAACCTCCGTGTACTGATCCTCCTCTAACTTCTCAAATCTGGCTTCTAGCTCTTGTAGGAAGTCATCAATGTCTTACAGCTGGGGGGCTCTCCTCTTAGGAGAGCTGCTAGCCATTCCTTTGCTTCTCCCTCCAGTCCCTCAGCAATGGTATTCACCATAGCTTTGTGTGATGGGTAGAGGTGGCTGTAGCACTCTAGGTGGACTTTAGCAGAGTCAAGGAATAGAGCCAGTTGATCTGAGTCCCCATCGAATTTCCCCCTGAATTGGGGCAGTTCATTCAGCCCTGCTCCTCCCTCAACATGTTGACCCCTGTATGCCTGCACTTGGTGTGTTTGGCGGTCTCTCTTGGCTCTAGTTTGGAGAGGGGGGCCACCTGCCTTGGGTGGCTTGCCTGTTGTGCAGAGGAGCCACTGCCAGCAGCCTCGGACTCATTCTCCCTCTAGTGAGTGGAGAAGGGAGGCTGCATTTCTGTCTGCTTCTCCTCACTACAAAGGGCTCAATTGCAACCCCCTCTCTTTTTGGGTGGCACAATGGCCCCTCATCATGAAGGCTGGTTTGATCAAATTTTTCCTTCAGCTGTTCTAAGGAGTCCCCCCTCCCCCAAGGGTTCCATCAGAGTTTTTGAGAGTCTGGCCTGTTCCCAGTCTGTCATCCATCCATTCCAGTCTTCCTAGCTCACTCATAATTTTCTCCCAGCCCTGGACTGGGGGGGGGGGGGGGGGGGGGCCCACCCCCCGCCGCTTTGGGGATTTTTTTCCCCCAATACTCATCACTTTTCATTTCAATCACTGAGATGGGCATCTTGGCTTTGATTTCCAGGGAGGGCTGCAATTTGGTTCCAGTTGGGCTGCTGGTTCCTGGAGTTCCCTGGTGGGGGCAACTCCAGGTCACCTGGAGCAGGCTTTTCTTGGACAGTCTGCCCTCTGCCATGGTAGTCTGAGTTTCTCTCCACATATCCCAGGTGTAAGGGAGCAAATGGAGAGGCTGATGTTCAGGAATCTTAGTCGTTTTTATTAGTTGTGAGAGAGTTGGCTTGCTGTCAGGGTTCTGACTGATGCCCTAATTAAATCATGAACCTCAGGCCAAGCTTCAAAAGAAATCCAGTTATTTATTAGGAGCTTCATGTCAGCACAGACCAAGTGAAGCCAATTTTGAGTTCAGTTAATTCATGCTTTGGCTCTGACCCTCTTTCCCCCTCCCCCCCAAGATGTGTCATCAGTCACATTCCCCAACAAAGCAATTTTACGGGTTGTAGAAGTCACTCCCTCTGGCCACTCTGGGTCTCCATGGAGATGACGATTCCAGCAGGAATGTGCTTTGTTTTGACTGAAATACAAGTTTCTCGATGCAGCTGTGAAACTCGATTCCCCATCCACCTTGCCTATGGCAACTCGAGAGCAGGTCAGGAATGCTTCGTGAGTTGACAGTCAGGCTGAATGATCTGTAGTTTCCTGGATCTATTTTCACTCTTTTTTGAAGATGGGAAGCACATCAGCTCTTTTCCAGTCCTCTGGTAGTTCCCTGGTGCTCCAGGATCTTTGAAAGATATAGTTCAGTGATTCCAAAATCACATTGCCTGCTCCTTCAGAACTCTGGGATGTAATCTGTCAGATCCAGTTATTTGAACTTGTCCAGAGTGAACAGGTGTTCCCTTTTTATTTTAATTTGTATTCCTAGTCAGTCTTTTACAGTTATGTTTTTGGTAGGTTGGGCAGTATTATCTTTTTGCATGAAGACAGATGCAGAGAATGAATTCAACAGCTCTATTTTTCTCTACTGCCTGTTACTTCCTTGCAATTTTCTCTCATTAGTGGACCAATTGTTTCTTTGACTTTTTTCTTTGGCGGTCCAAAAGTGTGAAAGTCACTAGCAGTTAGGCTTTTTCTCAATGCAACTGGTCTGCTTGTATGTGGTATGTGGTTGAAAATGCATTATATCTGTAAAGAAAATGTTGGGCTGAATAAAAGGAAGTCTGCCAAGAGAGTCCAGCCAATACTTGGATGCCAATACTTATTGTATGTAAAGTTATTCTTGTCTCGGTGTAAATCTAAATTTGGCCTCTATACCAAGTTACAAAGTAAACTTGTCTTAACTAGAAGTAACATGGAACTTAAAATATTTGATCTGGGGCAGTGGGGCATCCCTTAGAGCTCTCTGCTGGTTGCAAAGCTTTGGAACAGGCTTGTGAAGAACTTCATAGAAGTTGGAAATTATTCCATTTCATAAGTGCCCATGAGATTCAAGTATCAAACTCAAAGCCATCTCCTTTATTATATGCAGGGGTTACATAATTTGAGTGTTACAAATGGGATGACATCCTCATAAGGTTGCTTTGGTTAGATATGTATATAGGAGAACAGAAAATAAAAGCTATAAATGCAACCTGGAGCTCTTGCAAGAAATGTGGGATATAAATCAAATAAAGAAACAAATGACAGTAAATTGTTCAAGACAATGTATACAGTTCATAATTAATTTATACGTTGAACTTTTCTAGCTGCAGCATTAAGCTGGTTTTTCCTTCTGACTAATTTTGTGTTGTCCTGCATTGTGGCATCTCTTCAAGTGTCACAATTTTATTACAGAGTTGGGTCCTATCAGTTAGATTAGATTGACAGAGTTTGAAGGGACCTTGTAGGTCATCTAGTCCAACCCCCCACCCAAGCAGGAGAGCCTACATCATTTCTGACAAATGGCAATCCAATTTCTCCTTGAAAGCATCCAGTGATGAAGTTCACACAACTTCTGAAGGCAAGCTGTTCCATTCTGTTGCTGTTTCTAAGGTTGAACCTTTCCTTTGTCAGTTTCTATCCATTATTGTCTGGCTTTCAATTGCCTTGGATGCCAGTTCCTGCCATCAAAGTCTAGAGGAGATGGGAGATGGGGGTGGGGAGATGGAAAATAGGGAGGGTGGAATGACAGGTAATGAAGACCAGAGAAGACCAGAACCAGTTTGTACAGAGGCACCAAGGCCATGCATCCTGAGAAAGGAATGTGAATTGCCCACAACTTCTTAGTGTTCTCATAACATCTTGGTGAGCTCTGATTGGTGAAACATAGATTTGTCACAGGGGGGTGGGGAGAAGGTAACCTTTTCTGTATCTTTTTTGTGTGGGAAAACCTTAGAACTAGCTTTACTTTACTGCAACCAACTTTTTTAGTAAAAAATTTTTTGCTTCAATTTAATGATTCCTAAGGGATCAGATTGGGGCAGGTCTGATATTAGGCTAGCTATGCAATTGAAGTTAACCTACATTTCCTCTATTGTGATCCTCTATTGAGGATCTTGCAAATGATGTCGGCTCAAGGGAGCAACCAGGAAGAGATCAAAGTCTGCGGTGAAGCATCCTCAAAACCCTCTGCTGAAGAGCTGGATCTATCCAAATGTAACCATTTACATTTGAAGATGTAAATGAAGATGACCTGCCAAGACCCTAATGGTTCCTCAGAGTCAGGAAAAATGAGGAATGAGAAGAGAAACCCATGGGGGTGATGCTCACCACAGAAATTGTGGCAGTTGTCAACGAGAAGCGTAGTGGAGCTAGAGGAGCTGGAAGAGGAGCAGAGAGCAGACAAGCCAGATCAAGAGGATTGGATGCTGAACAAGTTAAAAACTTCCTGAGGCATGTGTTCGACAACCTCAAGAATAAAAATAACCTTTTGCTTCAACCTAATGGAGTTGAGGGGTTTTCTTTCCTAAGAGATTAGTTTTGGGCAGGTCTGACATATTGATTTAGTTCCTAAGGATAGTTTTATTAAATAATAATTAAAGATGCTGTTTTACATTTTACATGCAATATTTGCCAACCACGCCAGATGGCTGACCATTTAACCTTTTACCGAGAGAAAGAAAAAACATTCACAAGACTGTGTAAGTGGCATGAGCCATGATTAGAATGCAGTACTGCAGGCTATTTCTGCTTATCAGCAGTTTGGCAGTTCGAGTCTCACCAGCTCAAAGTTGGCTCAGCCATCCATCCTTCCAAGGCCAGCAAAATGAGGACCCAGATTGTTGTGGGTAATATGCTGACACTGTAAACTGCTGAGAGAAGGCTGTAAAGCACTATGAAGTGGTGTATAAGTCTAAGTGCTATTGCTATGAGCAAGGCTGGGAAACTATCCACCAGTTAGTTTGGGAAGAGATGAGAAAGATGGAGAGATGACAGATGGACTGCTACAGTACTTCTGCTTGCAGATTAAGGGCCAGCTCCATATTCATGTGTTAGGAAAAAAAGCAGTAAAGCCTGGAACTCACTCAGAGTAAAAATGTTCAAATAATAAGAAAATTAAAGGTAATGAAAAGGAGAAGTGATAAAAATGGGATGAATAAATTATCCCTAAAATTTACAAAAAATTATTAAGGAAGGAATAGTTAAGGAAAAGTTTTTTTATAATGTTTCAGCAATGGGAAGTCAACAATGAATTATAATTTGAAAGATATAAACCCTTTTTTGAAAATGATGTGTTAGATTTACTTTTAATTATAAAGTTGATTTACTTTCAATGGATGCATTACCTGGAACCCTGACAGATATATTTTAAGAAATGTTTAGTATTTTAAAATACACATAAAATTGAAATTTGAAACTTTTTCTATAGGGTTGTTGGTTACAGAACTTGGAAGAGTATCATAATTTTTGTTATAGATGGTGATAGTGAAGAAAATTTAATAAATAGAAATATATACTACTTCCCACAATGAGAAAAATGGATAGAGAAAAAATGGATTTGGTTGAGATTGCAATGTCTTTTTAAAAGACATTTTATTTGATCCAGTTTCTTTCCCCCCCCCAAATGGTTTTTATTGTTTTCCACCAGTACAAATTGTATTTTCAACAGCATTTTGTATCGACATACAATGTTATCATATATTTTCTATCATGTATTTATATACCTCACCAATAATTATCCTTACTTATGTTTGTTATTAATATCTATTTTACATATCTACATATCTATACATTATTTTCTTAATTTCACTCTACACCTATGACTGCACTCCCTCTTGTCCCACTAACTCTATAACAAAATTTGCAAATGACACCACATTGGTGGGACTCATATCAGAAGAAGACGAAACGGCCTATAGGTCAGAGGTTCTCAGACTAGTCTTGTGGCACAAGAGTCATAACCTCGCCCCGAACATCAAAAAGTCCAAAGAATTGATTATAGACTTCAGACAATGCAAAGAGAGCCTCTCCCACTATATATCAAGGGAGATTGTGTGGAAAGAGTTCATAGTTTTAAATTTCTAGGAACTCGTATTTCTGACAATCTTACTTGGTCGGTCCATACTATGACCACTGCAAAGAAGGCCCAACAGCGCCTGCACTTTCTGAGGCTGCTGAAAAAGAATGGTCTGGGTGAGAAGTTGCTGGTTACTTTTTACTGTTCTACCATCGAGAGCATTTTGGCATACTGTGCTGGATGCTCTGTAGTGGATAAGATGATGCTCCAGAGAGTTATAAACACAGCACAAAAAATCATCCGTTGCTCTTTATTCTTTGGAAGAGATTGCAAAGACCAGACTCCTCTCTAGAGCACAAAAAATCTCCACAGACCATTCTCATCCTGGTCATTCATATTTCGAATTGTTACCATCAGGGAGTTATAGATGTCTTAAAATGAGGACTAATAGACTGAGAAACAGTTTCTTTTCCAGGGCAATAATTGTCTTGAATCAAACAGTACATTTGTGATTTAGTTCTATATATAAAGTGGCATTTTTAAACTATCTAACTTAATATATGTTTTAAATAGGTTTTAGACTAGGTTTTTAATTATAATTATTATTTTTATTATTTTACTTTTTAAAAACTGTGTAGTGTGATTGTGATGTGGTATTTGGGACACTGTGCTGGAGTAGCTTTAAATTTCATTGTATTTTGAATGGAATGACAATAAAGGCTATTCTATTCTATTCTATTCTATTCTATTCTATTCTATTCGGGGTTCTTTTATGTAATCTTCACTTTTCATTCCTTGTCTCTATTTTCTAACCATTTGTACCATCTATGCCAAATTGAGTAATAATCGGATTCTTCTTTTTCCTTCATTTTTAATGTAAATATATCCATTTCTGTGCAATCCGTTATTTTTTGTAAGACTAATTCTTCTGTTGAAATGTTAGGCCCTTTCCACATTTGCGCATAAGCTGTTCTAGCTACTGTTAGAATATGTATTTTATCTTTTTCAGATATTGATCTTTGATTATCCCCAATAAATAGAGTTCTGGTCTGAGTTCAATTTGATATCCCATAATTTCTTGTATCCAATCTTTGATTTTGGTCCAATAGATCCTGACTTTGGGGCATAGCCACCACATGCGGTAAAAGTACCATCAACTTGTTGGCACTTCCAACATTTTGGGCTGGTATTTGGGTATATCTTGGCTAATCTTACCGGGGCTAAGTGCCATCAATAAAACATTTTTTATACATTTTCTTTATAAGTTGAGGCTGTTGTTAATTTATAGTTTATGTTCCATAATTTTTCCCATTCTAAATCTATATTATAACCAAAATTCCGTGCCTATGCTATCATAGTATTCTTAACCATTTCCTCTTTCATTTTAAAGTCTAACAGGTGTCTATATGTTTTGGATATAAATTTTTGTTCTGGTCCAATTAAAATTTTGTCTAATTGATTTTGCCCCATGTCGAATCCAAATTCTTCTGAGTCTGTTATGTATCTGTTTTGAATTTGAAGATATGGCCACCAATCGATTGTAATTCCCCGTTTTTTGAGTTCTTGATTTGATTTTAGTTTTCCTTGGGTGTCTAATAATTCATTATAATTTATCATTTTCCCTAAGTCCAATCTATTTGGTTGTATCATGGCCTCCATGGTTGACAACCAATGTGGTATTTTCATATAATGCTTGTTTTTAATTTTCCTCTATGTCTATATTAGTGAATCTCTAATTAAGTATTGGTTAAAATAGGCATGTGTTTTGCCTTTTTTCTCTCACAAGTATGCGTGCCAACCTTCCTGGAGGTCATGACTTTCAACTGTTAGTATTCTTTTGTCTTTTAATTTAGCCCAGTCCTTAATCCAATTTAATATCGCTGCCTGGTAATATAATTCCCATTCTGGTAGCCCAAAACCACCTCTGCTTTTACTGTCCTGCATCAGTTTTAATTTAATGCTAGTTTCTTGCCCAGCCAGACGAATTTGGTTGTTGTTTTACTTAATTCAGTAAAAATTGCTTTTCCTAATTTTATCGGGATCATCTGAAAGAGATACATCAATTTTGGTAGGGTATTCATTTTCAACACTGCAATTCTGCCTAATATTGTAGTTTCCCCCATAGTTCTAAATCCCTCCTTATATATTCAATTAATTTAGTATAATTGTCTTTTTTAATTGATGAACACCTAGTAGATAGCCATATTCCAAACATTCCTATGTTTCCATAGCCAAACATTTTTTTTCCACTCTGTATTCCCATTTTATTTTGTAATTCTATTTTCTGTTTTTCAGTGCAGTTTTTAATTATCATTTTAGGTTTTTTAATTTATTTTCAATCCTGCAACTTCTCCAAATTTTTCTATTTCTTGTAGTTGTCCATTTTTTATTGGTTCTTCCACTATGAATACAAGGTCGTCTGCAAATGCTTGGACCTTGTATTCTTTGTTTCTAATTTTGATCCCTTTTATTCTTGAATTTCATCTGACTGTGGCAAGTAACACTTCTAAGGATAAAATAAACAGCAGGGGTGATAGTGGGCACCCTTGTCTCACTCCTTTGTCTCTCTCAAACTTGTCTGTATGATCTCCATTCAGTTGGAGATTCATGCTTGCTGTTTGGGTAGAATATATGGCTTGTAGTGTTTTTACTATGTTAGTACCGAAATTCATTCATTTTGTACTGCCTTTTTCAACTCTGCTGGGGTTATTTCTCCATTTAATATTTCCTTTTGTTCTTCCGAAATTGAACCCAGACCATTCTCCTCTAGGTATTTTATTATATTTTCCTCCATAACTTCTTCTTGTTTGTACAATTCCCAAAAATAGCTTTGCACAATCTGTTTTTTCCTTTCATCTGACAGCATATATTTCCTTCTTTGCTGAATTAATCTTTTTTCTTTTTCTACTTTTAACTTATGGGCTAGCCATCCACCTGACTTGTTTGTTGACTCAAAAAAAATTGCCTTTTAAGTTTTAAATTTTGAGCTCTTTCCTCTAAGAATGTCAAGTTTAATTTGTGTCTAACCATCATTATTTCTTTTTTTGGTCATATTTTGGGGGTCTTTTTGAAGTCCGTTTTCTAATTCTTTTATCTACTGCAATTCATTTTGTTGTTTCCGTTTTGTCTTATTTTTCCTAATTGCGTAGACTATTGATATTCCTCTCATATAAGCTTTTGTAGTGTCTCACAGATTCTGCAAATTTGTATATTCCTTTAAATTTGTATTTTTTAAAGTTTCCAATTCATTTTTTATTCTCTGTTTGTATTCTTTTTGTTTCAAAATTTGCAAATTTAATATCCATCTCATCTTTTCTTTTCCTCTGCCCTTTCCAAATAATTTTTAACGGTTTGTGGTCCCATTAAACATTGGGCATTATTTCGACTTCCGGTTGAAGGGCTTCGGCGACAGACAGGAATCCGTGAACATGCGCAGTTTCTGTCTGGGCTCGCCGCTGGAGCGTCATGAGCCGGCTGGTTTCGAGGCTAAGCCACCCTGTAGAGGTGGTGAAGAGGGGGGGAGACCACCAGCAGGGTCGAGGAGAGCTGCATCTCTCCTCCTCAGCTGGCCAAACTCCCTTTCCCAAAGGCGGTAGGAGCGGTGGTCAGAAATGGCCACCTCAAAGAAGAACTCAACTGGAAAAGAACGTGCAGGAGGAAGATAAGAAGTGAAAGTTCTGGCTGACCGGGTTAAGTCGAAAAAGCAACAACTAAGGTACCCTGGAATTTAAATTTTACAAAAGATAACATCGCTCCCAAAGAAGAGTCGGAAGCAGCGAAAGAAAGTGAAAAGGGAAAGGTTTGGCTTTTTTTCTTCTTCTCTCTCCTTCCTTAGATTGACAACTAAGAGACCTAAATAAGAAATTGGAAAAATCTGCTTTGGCATCAACAGGCAATTAAGCTGAAAATATAACTAAATGCCAAAGGGACAATAAATATTTCTGGACATTAAAACCTTTTTCTTCTATAAGCAGGAAGGGAGAGAAAAAGAATAAGGGCAGGATCTGGAAGAGGGAGGAGACTGCCTGGACTTCAAAAGAATCTAAAGTAAAATTTCAATAAGACTTCTAAAAGATACATTTTAACTGAAACTTTGCAACTAAATAGTAACCCCAGGAAGAGAAAGTGAAGAAAAAAAGAAAGTGTAAAAAGAAACAGCTTGTGTGTATTTGGATTGCTTGGTGACTTTTGGATTTTTGGTTATTATATTTGAATGACTAAAACCAATTGGGTGGTTGTTTAAAATTTTTACAATGGCATCACTTTTGGATGAATTGAAAATGGAACTTAAAAATACAAAGAAGATGCACAAGAAGGGAAGGGCTCTTTTGGCTTTGTTTTTTAATTCTTAGAAATGGAGATCTGGAACTATGAGAAACAACAAGAAAAGACTGCAAAACAAGAATACTGGGATAAAGAAGCCATCTTTAATGAACAAGTAACTCTATGTGGGGAAGAAAAAGGAAATGGGGAAAGAGAATGGAGAACTTAAGACTTAAAAAAAAACAACCAAAGAAAAGAAAAATAATTTGAAAAATAAATATAATGTTGGAAAGCAACAGAAAAAGGGAATATAGAAGAGGGAAAAAGAGGTAGAGAGACAAAGGGGTAAAAATGGGAGAGGGAAGAAGAGAGGGAAGAAGGAAAGGAAAAGAAGTTACAAAGGTCTGGAGCAAGATATAAAGGAACAGGACCTATTTAGAGATAATGGGTGAAAATCTAACTGAAAAAGGGGTTCTGTAAAGGTACATAAGATTGTATTGTTATATTTGTAATAGAAATAACTTTAGAAAATTGGAAACAACATATGATTAAAAAAGGGATAAAATGGTTAGTGTAATTTAGTGAAATGTTTGTGAATAAAATAAATGAAATAAAATAAATGAGAAAATTGAATTAGGAAGGAATGGGAACATTTTAATCAGTAAATGTTTTATAAAATATAAGTGAAGGGGGGGGGAATTAACTATGGAAAGTTCATAATTGTTCCAAAAAGAAGTATGATATTTATTTGAAAAGTAACATGTAAAATGTTAAGATTTTAATGAATATTAATATTAATGTTAGAATTGAATTGGAATGGATTGTTGTTTTAATTATATTATACATTTATAACTTTTTCTTTTTTCAAGAATACAGTGTGTATTTTAAGAATATACCAAGCAGAATCCAAATTGAAGTTATGTATTATATTGAGTGTTATAATTTTAGGGGAAAGATATAAAGGCGTCATACTCCAATCAGTAACTACAGGAGAAATTTTATTTAATGAGAAAAGAAAAGATAATAGACAATTGAAACAGGACAGACAAAAAATATAAATACAATGATTTGAATTGAGATGAAATAAATAAA